CTTCACCCGGTCCCTTTGATTTTTCAATCAAAGCTTACTAAGTCAGGTGGTACCAACAAGGCAATCCATGGCTTGAGTTTTGGCCAATTCAGCAAGAATTGTCCAAAATCCAAACCATATATGGTCAGCTTTAGGCTCAGGATAGAAACCCTGGAGGTTCCAAGATGCTGAAGGAGTTATATAACCTGATATTTGGGAATCTGTAGGAGCCTGTTTTGTGCTGCCAGGAGCAGTTTGGGTATACCAATGTAAGGTTTGCAGTTGGGGTCGCCAATCATTTTAATTCCTAATTCTCCTAGTGTTAATAAATCTCAGGGCTAAAAATTAAAATGTGCTTTTAGAATTATTTGCAGGGGCTGTGCTACCTGCAAGGTGGCTGTGAGCTGAATGGTGTATGGCCTACAAGCACAGGATAGTTCTTCGATCTGTAGTCACTGCTGTAGAAGGCAAAACCTCCTCTATTTAGACACCAGTACACATATTTCTAGCAACTGCCGTCTGACAGCTCCCTCCTATATTGTCAGCCTACAGGACATCAGAGACCCAGAGGGCAAAGTAGTTGAAGTGCAAGTCAAATTTCATAGGGTTGCAAAAGCATTAAGGAAGCACGAAGGTCAGTAATAATTGCACACTACGCTCACCCCACTTATATCCATTTAAAGGACATCTCCTTTACAAAATATAATTATATAAAACTGAGTATTTTTTTAATGGCTGTATGTAGTGCAGATAAAACGAAAGGGACAAGTGACGCCAACGTCAGCTTAGTCCTAGATATTGCATTTTTTTTTTTTATTTTGTGTTTTAATTGGAAGCACCAAAATATCCCCAAATGGCAGGGGATACAAGCATCACAGAGATGTATAAATCAGTAAAATCTTGCAACTAGATTTTTGCCATCATTGAGTATGGTTTAAGACACACTGTGCAACAATAATTCAAGGTACCTTGATGATCAAAGTGTCTGATGGGAGAAGGAAGGAAGAAATTCAATGGGCTCCACACTTTCCCTTTTAGACACCTTTGACAAACAACATCTACTGGTAGGTTGATGGCCACTGTAGCCCTTTATGTCCTTCTTTATTTTCTGCCAAAAATATGGAAAATATATGAAAGAAATAATCAATCTGCTGCCAGCTATGCATGGCAATATTCAGTATGAGTAAATAAAACTTTACAAGACAAATCCTTTTTTTCTACAAGCTCTTGTGTAACTTTTGCCAGCACTGTTATACTTGCTGGCATACCACTGTTTATTGCAGGACATGAATCTGGAGGTTCTGAATAAAAAATAAAAAGGGGGGGCACAGAGGGCATTTTGTGTTGGATCCCAGGGCAAGGAAAACAAGCAAACGGCATTCACAATAAAAGATAAGAAAGCAAATCCAAATAAAGGGTATAAACACTCCAGTATAGTAAACACCAATTGTACTCAAAGCACATAAGTACATAGACATGGGTCAACTGAACAGGACAGTGATTTTAATATCGGCTAAAATTCCAATACTAAGATTACCCATTGAAGTTAGTGTATCTGCCCTCTGTATGATCATAACAAAGATCACACTGTCCCTCTCAATTATCTGTTTATTCTACTATGCAGAATCCATCAATGGGTGCGACATTATCCTCTGGCTTTGTAATTCCGGCAGCAGTTAGATGGCCAGTTAGAACAGAATTTCTGAAAGTGATAAAAAACCAAAATATGATTCAAGTTAGCAAGCAGTTAGCAAAAGTGTGGAAAAAAATACAGACTTTGGGTGGAATCGGCCTTAAAGTTAAAAGCAGAAATCTATCAATCCATTCAGTCGTATCCGACCCTTAGCGATTGCATGGACCGTCACTCGTAAGTGACTTTTTTCCATGAATTCTCTTAGCAATTATTTTACAGGGTAGGTTGCTAGGTCTTTCCACAACCCCTACCATGAAGGAGATCCCATGTGGCCAGGGATGAAACTAGGACAATTTAGACAGGAGCCAATTAACCTACCAGCATGTCTTTGGAGTGTGGGAGGAAATCGGCGTACCCAGAGGAAACCCACACGAACACAGGGAGAACATGCAAACTCCATGCAGGAGGCACCATGGTTGGGAATTGAACCCATGACCCAATTACTGCAAGGCAGAAGTGCTAACCACTAAGCCACTGTGCCGCCCAAAGCAGAAATAAACTGTAACAAAAAAAAAAAATTGCAATCAGGCAGGTTCTTTATTGCAGAAGTGACATGATAGGAGACAAGTGGTGCATCTTCTGTAATAAAGCAAACTTATTTGCCTGTTCACCAGCTTCTTTTAAATGCACAATGAGCTGGGCATGCACAGCTGAGTATAAATTCTCGGCACACCTTAGTGCTGGAATATATGAACTCTCATGCGCGGGAAGTTGCCTTTAGAGAAGATGCCGAACTTGGAAGAAAACCAGGTGATGATAGCGCTGGCAAGGGAGAGGTGAATTGAGTTCTAATTTAATTTGAAAATAACAACCCTAACCCTAGTGCACTTCATTTTGGGATTTAGGTTTCCCTGCTCGTCAACATAGACTGTGACCCTCTGTATTAACACCAATTACGGTTTTGTACCAGTGGGTTTCAGATAATACAGAGACAAAATTTAGTTAAAAAGTATAAAAATACTCATGGGAATAGCAACAACACTATCCAACAACTGCTTGTATTGAATCACATAAGTACAGTAAAGCACATCAACCAATCAGAAGGCGGCCCACATGAGTATCTGCTCACTATTGCTCTGTGTACGGTAAATAAAGGACGCCTGTCAGAATACAGTCATAAAAGCTGCCATTAATAATTTGTTTTTAAAGTGTATGCTCTGGGACTGTCGTCTTACTTCCCCTACTTAATGAGTCATAGGCCAATAACAAGTATACAGGCTGGGAGTTTCTACTACAGAGAGTGCATACTTATTACCAGATCGATGATTCACTAAGCAGTAAATCAAGGATGAGCATGACAGGGTTAATCAATGTAATTTCCCACTTTCTATCCTCACAGGATCCAGATGGGTTAGTATAGGCAAAGCAACATTTAATGCCCCAGTAATACCAAGAACTGAACAGATTCTACAAACTGCTTAGATAAGTCAGTCGGCTGGGCAAAGCAAAATTGTTGAATTTCCACATTGATTATCATTAGTGAAAGATTACAGCTCAAATATATTGCTGGTTCGGGCAGCAAGCACACCATCTATTGGGTAATGTAAGTTGTCACTGGCAACAAAAGTCTAGCATGACCCTTAAATGGTAATTCACGCAAAAATGATGTTTTGGCCTTACGTGGGGTATGATGGGCAGATCTGCCTCTTAGTGTTTCTTGAGAATTCTAGTAACAAAGGCTACCTGCCATCCTGCAGCCTGGTACTTAGTCCCCTAGAGACATAAGACCCCATAAAGTGTCTGCACTCTACCAAAAACTTAAATATCAGTGCTGAGTGGACTGCACCTTAAATGAATCATCCTAGTTCAAATATGAGTCATGTAATACTAAACATTTCCAGGAAATACAATTTTCAATCTATGTCCTGATATTGTAGGCATGAGACCAAAAAAGAAGAAGACCTTCACCCTAAGTTATTCATTTAATTACAGAGGGAGGCTAATGAGTGTATCTTGTGTGTAAAAATCAGCATACCTTTGAACCCCCAACATGCCAGGTGTTTCCTGAAACCTCTTTGCTGCACATAGTTTCCACCCATCAGAAAGCTCTGCGAACCCCATTTCATGTAGAAGTTTAAACTAATATTTTAGGCTTGTAAACGAAAAACTGCCTTTTGGTACTTTATATGAGCAAAGGTTTGAAGACAAATGATTGAAATCAGGTGTACCAGTGAAAGGTACAGTTAATGCTGCTAGATACAAAGACATTTTAGACAACTGCGTCCTTGTGGCAACAATTTGGGGAAGGCCCTTTCCTGTTCCAGCATAACTATGCCCCTGTGCACAAAGCCAGTTCCATAAAGACGTGGTTTGATGAGTCTGGTGTGGAGGAGGAACTCAAGTGGCCTGCACAGAGCTCTGACGTCAACCCTTGTAAATGCTGGAGTTCATTTGGAACTCCAACTACGAGCCATCGACATCAGTATCTAACCTCACAGACGCTCCTTTAGCTGACCAGCCACATATTTCCAAAGACACTCTTCAAAATCTTCTGGAAAGCCTTCCTAGAGAGAAGCTGCTAAAGCTATAAAAAGATTGGGGGGAGACCCCATATTAATGCCCACGATACTGGAATGGGTATCCAACATGCTGATATAGGTGTGATGCCCAGGTGTCCGCAAACTTTTGGCCATATAAAGTATAAAGGCTAGCACCTCTGTTTTCCTTTTCATGACATTTCCCAATACTATCCCAAGCGACAACAGAACAAAAAGTAAATCTACCAAACAGGAAGCAGTCAAAATCTGCCAGAGGTTCTAAGCTTTCACTCTATGCAAAACCTAAATATTTGGCTGGAGTTCTATTTTAACATCTAGGCAGTAACAGAGACAGAAATGGGCAGTGGGAGGTCATGGAAGGATCATCAACATTCTGAATTTGCACAATGGTGTAGCAAAGGCAAGTATCATTTTACAGCCTGTCCCATCACACTCCCGTAATTATAATGCTTTAAGGATCTTCTGTTAAACATTACCTCTAAAATTTAGGATTCTTAAATGCTACGATAAAGACAAAAAAAAAAAATTGTTAAAGAAGATACAAAAATAAAATATTGCTTTGTTTTAAATAAACAGCTGTCCCTTTCAAGGTCAGGGCTAGTTTTATTCATCAGTAGTGCATTTAGCAGTCATCTGTTGGCAAAAATCAGCGATGCCCCCCCTGCTGTGGCAGACTGCCTTGGTAAAGCTGTTGCAGGTGGTTTGATTGCCATGGGAGCGGCATTTTGCAGAACACCATTACCCTCCTCTGCCAGGCGCTGGGAAGCCTCTCCAGTGTTTAGTAACCCTCCAGCAAACTCCTGCAATATGGCTTCACACTGAAGGAACATCTTGCCCTTCTCTGGCACCAGGAAGGACAGCGGGCACTCGGAGCTGGAATACTTTGCCAAGATATGGATCTGATCGCGGCTCAGGGCGGCCTCGCGGCACACTTGCTGGCAGAGTCCGGTGAGGTTTTGCTTGGTTTCTCCCAATGTGGATAAAATTTGGTCCCTCTCCTTGAGCAAATGTTCCTTCTCATTTTGCTGTGTGAAGAGAAATAAAAACATGAATTGTATTCCAGACTTGTAAGCAAATGTTTAGACAAGCTTGTTAAAATTTCAGCTTTTAGGTAGGAGGAGGGAGAGAGAATATTTTTAAAAACAGATAGCATTAGGTTTTTTTATCCACTTTAAAACACCTACCAGGATTACTGCTATGCATCAAGGAAGGAGAGATTATAAGGTTCCAAACTTTAAAATGGATATAAGGATCTGAACACTCAGTGTGCAAAATAAACTGATTAAGTGTTTGTCCGCACCTCCACTATCCTGCCAGTCATGCTGAATCATGCAGCACTGTTATCTGCTGTAAACATGACACACAGCCTTAGCCAAGGTATCACATCTGCTCACTACACTTATATTCTGACACTAACCCTCTGCCAGGGGCGGACTGACAACTCATGGGGCCCCGGGCAATAGGGGATCATGGGGCCCCTGTGTCCTTGCCCAAACTCAAAAAAGCCTATGAAAAAGGTACCAGGGGCATCTCATGGGGCCCCCTACTGACCCCGGGCCCTCGGGCAGTGCCCGAGTTTCCAAATGGTCAGTCCGCCCCTGCGCTCTGCTTTCCTGATCTGCATACAGCAAGGTTAAATAACATTTATTAGAACAGCAACCAAACAAAAGTATATGTCGCAGTAGTCACTGAGTTAGTGCGGATGAATAGCCTTTTATTCAAACAATTTGGCAGGCACAGGAGATAGTCGGTACTAAAGAGGAAGAGGCGCAGAGGATAGGACCCAGCAAGGGAAAGCAGCCACCCTAAAACCAGAAGGTGGGGGAAGGGAGGGGGGCAAACATTGACAAAGCGTGGAGAAAAAGCAAGGCATGAAACAAGTATAGAAATGAGCAGCTAAAATTGGGAAAAAAGGAATTAATATAGCTTTAAATCACAACAAAAGGCTCCTGTTAAACAGTCTAAACAAGTCCCAAATCCAGTTCCTATGTGATGCACAAGTCTCATAAAAAAAACTTCCCTTAGGCCTTTTGCACACATGAACCTGAACCCGAGTAGTGTAAATTTCAGTGTATTTCCTCTGTCTGGAAAGTTGAAGTTCTGCACAAAGCCACCCATAGACAAAAAATTGCTGTACTCGGGTATACGCCAGTGCTTGCACAAACAATATAGTGTATGGGCATATGTAACTTTGATGGACAGTTTGGTCTGCATGTAAAGGTCAAAAACGTCATTAAGGGCACAAAGAAAAATGAGAAATCAACGATCATCTTAAAATACATGAACAATAAGACCCCTTTCAGATCAGCCGGACTTCTTCCCAATCAGCAGGGGATCCCCTTCTGTTCAGAGCAGAGCAGATAGATGGCAGGTTTATGTCTGCTCAGTTTCTGCAGAGCAGACACGAGCAGAGCCCACTTTTCTCTATGAATGGCCAGGAGTAAATGGACTCCGGTGCCCGTTTACACCCAACTACTCTATGATCCAATCCACCTAGATGGAAGGGGATGAATCTCCTTCTGATTTTTTTGAGCAGACTGGATCAGACCTGGAGGTAGGTGGGTGTAAACAGACACAAGTCCATTTACACCAGCCTGCCCATAGGGAGGATCGGACCATCTGATCAGGTCTTCCTGAAAAATGGACATGCGGACCTGATCAGATCTCTGGTGTGGAAGGGTCCTAAGGCCGATATCAGAGGGGGCGATTCTGCTGCTAGTGATTTTGCCAATGGCGATTTGTCAAAATCGCCACACAACAACATTTCCCTGCACTTGGCTACAGAGGAAACGTGTATCTAAAGAAAGCAATCCTACCACTGGCGATTTGTCTCTAGTGATGAAATTACCTGTTGTGCATCAGTCTAAAGGTTTGGCAAGCCTGGATGACTTACAACCTATTGACAGCCAAACTTTACTATTTAAATGGCGGCCTCTCCCATCCTTAGAAGCCCCAACACCTGTAATTATTTTCTCTTCTGCCTTTCATTCCTCCTCTCTACTGCTCTCCTGAGTGTCATTTTCCACCTCCCACCATATCACTATTACACTTCCCGCTCCCTATAATCCTGTTCAGTTACCTCACCCCCACCTTTCCCTATCCCACCCTCGATATGCATTTTACTCCACCCCATGTGATATTTCGGCCTCCATCCCGTCCCATCAGCCAGGTCCACTTGCTCCATTCCACTCTCCTTCCCATGTCCGTTCCTTCTCCCACAGTTGGCATTTTGCACTATTATTATACAGTATATGCTGCATATCAATGAACAATGTTGTACTATTACACAGGACTCTTGTATTATTGGCTGGCAATACATTTCTTTTGTTCCTTTAAACTAATAAAATCTTTTGTAAAACAGAAATAAACTGATGAACAAAAAGCATGGCAAACCAACAAGAACACATGAACATAGAATATAAGTTGTTGGGTCAACCATTTCATACTCATTTTGAACTTTTTCTTTCACAATTGCATACTTTGAAGCGTGTTGGCGTATAAATGCAGCTTCCATGCGTCTCCTCCCACTGGAATGTCTACAGACACTGAGTCATCGTCAGAGATTGTACATACAGTGACTTCGGGAAGTGTTACTCATGGAAGCCTCAGTCACATGGTAGGACAAGGAAGTTAGATTGCAGAAATAATGATTCTCCTTTTTCTGTTTGCATTAAATCTATCAGCTTACTCTCTTAGATGACACTTGATAAAACATTCCAGATCTGACTTCTGAGTTGTCAGGTATCAAGATGGACTCAGGAAGTAAACCGCCAGCACTTCCCAAACAGCCACAAATATTCTTCATTAACCAGGGTAGGCTCCAGCAATGCTCCCGTCCGGCCATTTATATACATTGCAGGAGCCTACCCTGCTTGTGCACGGTCTCCTAGGAGCACTCTGCATCACGATACGGTGATATCGGACACAGCAGAACACCGAACGCTGTACGGGACCTCTGTGTGAGGTCCCGATCATGTGATCACTGATTGGCCAATCAGTGATCACATGAATAGTAGTAAGCAAGATGTCACTTCTGACATCATTGCTTACTACTAGTGAAATCTGTGAATGATAACAGAGCTATTCGCAACAGCCTTGTACCATGTGACAAGCTGTGACCAATCACAGCTCACACAGTATTTCTCAATAGCTGCAAGAATGCAGCCAAAGAGAAGGAGAAATGAATGCTTTTACAGCCTTTTTTGTGGGTGTAAAAGCAATCAGTGTAAAAAAACAAAAAAGAAAATTAAAAAAATATTCATCACCCCCCACAAGTAGTACAGTGTCACTATGGTGACACTGTACTGCTAGGGTGACAGTATATATAAAAAAAAAACAATAATAATAAAAAAAAAATAAAAATGTCAAACATTTTTTTAGAAAAATTATAATTTTTGGTTATAAACTAAATTTGGGTAATTTGTTTTCACTAAAAAGATAGATGAATACATTTTGGCCAAGATTAATAAAGAAAGATTATTTATTTGCAAAATGTTATAAGAAAAATACTTTTTTTTTTTTTAAAAATGTTTGGACTTTTTCATTTATATAGCAAAAAAATTAAAATCCCAGTGATGAATAAATACCACAAAAATAAAGTTTTACCTGTCTCAAAGAAAGGCTAAAAAATTCATATGGGTACAGTGTTGCATGACTGCGCAATCGTCATTCAAAGTGCTGATTGCCAAGTTCTCATAGTCGTTCTGAGCAGCAGTCACTGCTGTCTGCTCTGCCCCCCCTGAACTCACTGGAGTGCTGGGCTGTGGAGGGGGAGGGAGCGGCTGCCCAGACTCTCGGCGGCTCACTGAGAGGCTGAGCCAGGTGCCACTTCAGACTCTGGGGTGGATCCCGACTTTGAAGTCCAGCTGAGTGACATCAACCAACAGTGGGCTTCAGCCTGCTGTCGGCTGAAAACAGGTCACAGGAGTGCAGAACAAACAGCACTCCTGTGATTCACAGAAGAAGTATAGCCAAAAGAGCTTTGACTGTACTTCTCCTTTAAGTGTTTGGTCTTTTGAAGATGGACTGTATTTAATGTTGAATTTTGTTACATTTTCTTTATGTATATGAAGTGTGTGGACTTTGCATCTATAGTTTAACTCATTGTTTGCACAAATATTAGTGATTTGATCACATATAAAACTGAAAATAATTTGTTCACATAGTATTTTTCATGAATAGTTATAGGAATTGGGATACCAATTACTGTGTATCACGGTGCAAGGGAGTGCTGGATGTTTATATTAACACTTTCTTATAATAAACTAAAAATACCTGTTTTGATAAAACACAGACAAGGATAAAAGGTGTGTATTTTCACTTGTGAGGAGTTTCCCTTAAAATTGATGTAAACCTCAGACATGAAATATGAACAAAGCATATCCTTCTATAGTGTGTACTTGTCTCAGTCCAGAGCACTAAGTGTCATCTTTCTCTGCTGCCTCATTTCTCTGCTTATCTTCATGAGTCTCTTCTGCCAAGTTTCCTTACACCAAGAGACAAAAGATGACAGGGGAGGGCACAGCCTATGATTGACAGCCTCAGCTGTTCCTGTGAGCTGTGTGAAAGGAGGTGTGTTGCTTCCCTCCAATCAGCTCTCACTGAGTGAAACTTCAGCTCCCACCCCCTGCTTCTCAGAGCTGAGAGATCCTGTGTAAATTCTGCACTTTGAATGGATGTAGCGGCTATAGATAAACAGGTACAACTTAGGATTTGTTTCATCTCTGTGTATCACCTGAGGCCAGTCACTTCACTGTTGCTTCCCTCCAGTCAGCTCTCACTGAGTGAAACTTTAGCTCCCACCCCCTGCTTCTCAGAGCTGAGAGATCCTGTGTAAATTCTGCACTTTGAATGGATGTAGCGGCTATAGATAAACAGGTACAACTTAGGATTTGTTTCATCTCTGTGTATCACCTGAGGCCAGTCACTTCACTGTTGCTTCCCTCCAGTCAGCTCTCACTGAGTGAAACTTTAGCTTCCACCCCTGCTTCTCAGAACTGAGAGATCCTGTGTAAATTCTGCACTTTGAATGGATGTAGGAGCGATAGATAAACAGGTACAACTTAGGATTTGTTTCATCTCTGTGTATCACCTGAGGCCAGTCACTTCACTGGGTATAGGTAAGGGTTTATAACCACTTTAAGATTTATGATCATACCCAATAAAATCCAAAAAAATATATCATGAACCAAACAGCAACCTACCAGCTTCATGATCTCCGTTTCCAGGTTCTGGATGCAGTCCAGTTTTCTCTTTCGGCAGCGCTGAGCAGCAATCCTATTCTTGCTTCGCCGACGTATATCGTGGATACAGTCCAGCTGCTCCGAGGTGAGGGTGTGCGTTTTCACCAAGGACTGGAAGTCATAGCGTGAGAGGGAGATAATCTTCTGTGCGTTGAATGGCAGTGTTTTCTGCAAGAGAAGTGATTATTAAATCCAGTAGGTAGGATGATACAACACATACTGGAATAGCAGCCTTCGGACAACAATGAAAACCACATACATATACTGCAGGCGGGTGCTGCGGCTGGGCTGAATCACATACATGTACGTGATCCAGCTCTTTGAAGTATATGGCGCACACCCGCCCCATCTGTGCTGTGATTCGCTACAACACAAGATTGACTGTGTCCAATCACAGCACAGAGCCCTGCATTTAAAAACACACATTGTTAGGCACACAGTTAACCCCTTCCCAGCCAGTGTCATTAGTACAGTGTACAGTATTAGCATCAATCACTGTATTAGTGTCACTATTGATGTCAGTGTTTTTTTCAGCCAGTTCGTTAGCGCCAGATTGCCCACCACACAATCACAGTCCCACTAAAGTCGCTGATCTCCACCATTACCAGTATAGTGTCATAGCTAATTCCAGTATATATACCATAGTTTGCGCTTTTGTACAAACCAATTAATCTACACTTACACAGAAATTAGATTGTTAACTATTAGATTTGTTTTATAACAGAAAGCAGAAAATATTGTTTTTTTACAATTTTTTATTAAATGCCACCGAAAACCCTGTATTTGTGTGAAAAAATGATATAAATTTTGTTTGGGTACAGTGTTCAATAACCAAGCAATTGCCAGTTAAAGTAGCGCACTGCTGAATAGCAAAACAATGCCCTGGTCATGAAAGGGGTAAAATCTTCTGGAGCTCAAGTTGTTAAATTAAGATATATGAAATCCTTACTAAAGAAAAATGCCCCACTGTCTTACAGTGTATCTACCTATAGGCCAAACTTTAGAATAGTGCTGGAAATGATCAGAGCTCCTGTCTATTTTCAAAGGCGATATGGGACTTCAGTAGATGGTCATTCTGGAATACTGTTGAAGTGCTGGCTTTTCTCTACATCTAGATTTGTGTGGTGTCACTTTATGCAAGCACCCCCCTCTCAAAAAGGGCTACACGAAGCCAATGAAGGTGGTTTGATGTATTACAAGTTTTACGACCATTAAAGGCTCAGTTGGTGAGATTCTCACACTTCCTGTTTGGTAAAAAGGTTGTCCCCAGCACAGGAAGTGAAAAGAAATCTCTCTAAGGGCTCATTTACACTTGCTTGGATTTCAACACACATTAAAGCGCCACAGCTTCAACACACTTTTTTTGACGTTTTGTATGCTTCAGCGATGCTTCAATGCTGCATTTTGGAAGCTTTAATAAAGGTTGGCAAAGACTGTGTGTGTGCTGATTTTCTATTTATTTAAAAGGGGCCAGTAGAACCCCAGCTCAGTAGTACCCCCCAGTCAGCAGATCCCCAGCTCATTAGTACCTCTGTTCAGCAGATCCCCAGCTCATTAGTACCTCTGTTCAGCTGATCCCCAGCTCATTAGTACCTCTGTTCAGCCGATCCCCAGCTCATTGTTACCCTCGTTTAGCAGATCCCCAGCTCATTAGTACCTGTGTTCAGCAGATCCCCAGCTCATTGTTACCCTCGTTTAGCAGATCCCCAGCTTATCCGTACCTCTGTTCAGCTGATCCCTAGCTCATTAGTACCTCTGTTCAGCAGATCCTCAGCTCATCAGTACCTCTGTTCAGCTGATCCCCAGCTCATTAGTACCTCTGTTCAGCTGATCCCCAGCTCATTAGTACCCTGTTCAGCCCCAGCTCATCATTAGTACCCCTGTTCAGCCGATCCCCAGCTCATTGTTACCCCCTGTTCAGCCGATCCCCAGTTTAGTTTAGCAGATCCCCAGCTTATCTGTACCCTTGTTCAGCAGATCACCTGCTCAGTAGTACTGCCGGCTCTGCTGATGCTCCACTTATCAGTAACCTCCAGCTCTGGTCTGGACCCCGCTTACCTTCCAGCTGCTCCATGCTGTGCACCAGATGTGATGTCTGCACCGGACACTCCCAGAATATATACACATGAACCTGAAGTGCCTGCTGATGATGTCTGAGAGCCAACTAATGTCGTAAAATATCAGAAACACTATAAAATCCCACAAAAAGCCTTCCCAGAAGAATGGAGACTGTTATAGCCACAAAGCAGGCGGGGCAGGAGGGGGGGGGGTTGAGGGGCTCTTGGGAGGGATTAATGGCATACCTATGATTTGGAATGGGATGTGTAAAAAGCTCATCTAGATATTACGATCAGGTGTCCACAAACTAATATTAAATCAGTAGGGCAGCACAGTGGCTAAATGGTTAGCACTTCTGCCTGGCAGTACTCGGGTTGTCGGTTCAAATCCCAACCACGGGACTACCTGCCTGGAGTTTGCATGTTCTCCCTGTGCCTGCGTGGGTTTCCTCCGGGTACTCCGGTTTCCTCCCACACTCCAAAGACATGCTGATAGGTGAATTGGCTCCTGTCTAAATTGGCCCTAGTATGTGTATGTATGAATGTGAGTTAGGGACCTTAGATTGTACACCCCTTGAGGGTTAGGGACTGATGTGAAAGTGCAATATATATGTAAAGTGCTGCATAAATTGATGGCGCTATATAAGTACCTGAAATAAATAAATAAACTATGTAGTGTATAAACTAGAAATATGTTAAGTTGCTTCTGAAAGCATAACCAGTGAAATAGACAGAATAGCCTGTAATATATATATGTATCATGTACCTCTGATATGATATGTTCCTCAGTAGTACACATATTTTGATACTGAAAGTCCATCAGTGGCTCTATTAGCTTTAAATCTGGATGGAAAGGTTCACCTTTTGGTTTCCCAGTGCTTCCTGGGATATCTCATACCTGCAATACCTCCAAAACAAAGCAAAGCTAAAGCTGAATAAAAAGCTGCAGGTGCTGCAAATTTTGTCACAGACCTCTAGGGAGGCTTCGGAGACGCTTTGAAGCACCAAGAAAGGGACATGGGGTATAATTTGTGAAGTGAAGCAAAAGCAAGCTGTAAACAGGACTGTAAGATGACCAGTTTATTTAGTGACAGGGGCTGTGATTGGCATTCAGAGTGCTTTAAAAAAAAGCCTGTCCAATGCCACATTTTAAAGCAAGTGTAAACAAGCCCTAACAGTAATATGGACAGATGGAAAAAGCATTTTGTAAGCTAAAAAAAGGATGCTAGAACTAGGGCTGAAACTACTAATCAACATAATCGAGTATAAAAATTGTTGTCAACTACTTTTATAATCGATCAGTTGGTCAGCCGATTAGTTGGCCTGCATACAGAATGAAAGATTTGCTAACATATCAGAACAGTGCAGCACACATACAGCTCAGTACACCATCCATACATGTCAGTATACACAGTGCAGCACACATACAGCTCAGTACACACAATCCATCCAGTATACATGTCAGTATACACAGTGCAGCAGCACACATACAGCTCAGTACACCATCCATACATGTCAGTATACGCAGTGCAGCACACATACAGCTCAGTACACCATCCATACATGTCAGTATACACAGTGCAGCACACCTGCAGCTCAGTACACCATCCATACATGTCAGTATACGCAGTGCAGCAAACATACAGCTCAGTACACCATCCATACATGTCAGTATACGCAGTGCAGCACACATACAGCTCAGTACACCATCCACACGTCAGTATACACAGTGCAGCACACATATAGCTCAGTACACCATTCATACACATTAGTAAGTGCCTGAGAACTTGTGAATGTGTGAGGAGAAATGCTTTGTGGGGCATGTAGTCCTGGGCAGGAGAAGAAAGTGATTCTAAAAGGCAAAAGTTTTTCTTTACCTTGCCATAGGGGCAGTCTATACTATATTTTACAGCTTGCTATAGGGGCACTCTGAAGGCAGGAGAAGCCAGACACTCCGGTGGGGGGTCCCAGAACAGGAGAATCAAGGCTGCTCTGTGCATAACCATTACACAGAGCAGGTAAGTATGGCAAGTTTATTTTAAAAAAATCCAATGTTTACAATCATTGTATGGCAGGGCTTGACAAATTTGCTTTAAATCTAGGAGCCAGCTAAAAAAAGTTAGGAGCCAGGTGGAGGCACAGGAGGGGGGCAACAGGACAGAAGGAAGGCAGCGGGACGGGCAGCATCACAGAAGGGGGGGGGGGGTAGCAAGACTGGTGGGGGCCAGCGTCCTCTGGAAAACCACGCTCTCCACGTCAAGAGGTGGACTGTTCCTGCCGTCCGCACCTCCAGAGCTGGTCCATGGGCCTGATGATGTCAGGAACAATCCATTCATAAAACTGCTAGCATGCAGGGGGAAGGGGGGGGGGGCAGGAGTGGCGAGGACCGGTTTTGCACTTGAAGGATTAAGTAAGTATACCTTCGCTCTGCAATCCCCTAGACATACCGAGGGGTTTACCCTTGCAGTGTGGGCACAGCATGGGAAAATAAAAGTTTTGCTTAGAGTTTTTCTTTAGTGTTCTCTTCCGCTCTTTAAAATTTTCCTGTCACTGTGGTCGAAAAGGAACGCTGATTTGACCCCACTAACAATTAGAAATTCGAATGAATGTTCTCAAAAAAAAAAAAAAATGTTTAACCTCTTGCCGTCCGCCTGCTGTTTATAAACGGCAGGGCGGTGGCAGTCCAGTCCTTTTCTAGCTGTGCGCGCTCTGGGAGCGCGCACCACCACGATCCGGTGTCCGCTGTGTCCTCCGGACACAGTGAAACACCGATCGTTGGACGGGACCTCTGTACGAGGTCCCGATCATGTGATCACTGATTGGCCAATCAGTGATCACATGCAAAGTAGTAAGCAAGATGTCACTTGTGACATCATTGCTTACTACGTGTGAAATCTGTGAATGATCACAGAGGTCACATGGTACAAGGCTATTCACAACAGCCTTGTACCATGTGACAAGGTGTGACCAATCACAGCTCACTCAGTACTTCTCAATGACTGCAAGAATGCAGACAGAGAGAAAGAGAAATGATTGCTTTTACATCCTATATGGGTGTAAAAGCAATCAGTGTAAAAAAAAAAAAAAAAAAAAAATCTTCATCACCCCCCACAAGAAGTACAGTGTCACCATGGTGACACTGTACTGCTAGGGGTGACAGTATGTAAAAAAATAAAAAAAAAAAAAAAATAATAATATAAAAAAATAAAATAAAAATGTAAAAAAATATATAATTTTTGGTTATAAACTAATTTGGATTTTTTTTTTTTTACTAAAAAAATTACGGAATAAATTTTGGCCAAGATTTATGATGAAATATTATTTATTTGCAAAATTTTATTAAAAAAAACACTTTTTTTTTTACATTTTTGGACTTTTTCATTTACATAGTAAAAAAAATAAAAAAATCCCAGCGGTGAATAAATACCACCAAAATAAAGCTTTATCTGTCTAAAAAAATGGTAAAAAATTCATATGGGTACAGTATTGCATGACCGCACAATTGTCATTCAAAGTGTGACAGCGCTGAAAGCTGAAAATTGCCCTGGACAGGAAGGGGGTAAAAGTGTCCGGACAGGAAGTGGTTAATGAAAAATGTTTTTTTTTTTTCGTGTATGGCCAAGCATGAGTGACAGCAAGCGCAAGTAGTTTGTATCAAGTTACCAGTCTACGACAAGAGGGTATTATATTACAATCCTGTCTGCAAATCTGCAATACAACGTTTTAGGTCTTTTTTAATTTTCTTTAACCACTTGCCCTCCAGAGGATTTACCCCCTTCCTGACCAGGCGATTTTTTTGCGATACGTTGCGGCGTTATTTCAACTGAAAATTGCACAGTCATGCAGCGCTGAACTCAAATAAAATGTATGTCCTTTTTTTCCCCACAAATAGAGCTTTCTTTCGGTGGTATTTGCACTCTAAACAAAAAAAGACCAACAATTTTGAGAAAAAAACCCAATATTTTTGACTTTTTGCTATTAAACACGTCCAGTAAAAAAAATTTTAAAAATCAAATTTAATCATAAATTTAGGCCAAAACTTATTCTACTACATGACTTTTCTATAAAAAAAATCCCAATCCGTGTAAATTTATTGGTTTATGTGAAAGTTATCGCGTTTACAAATGGCGGTATAGATGCTGGAATTTTTTTTTTTATGTACTAGTAATGGCGGCGATCAGCGACTTATAGCGGGACTGCGGCGGGCATTCTGACATCGGGGGGAACTGATTTGGTGTCACTGACATCCCCCAGTGATACCAATACAGTGATCAGTGCTAATAAAAAGCACTGACACTGTACTAATGACACTGGGCAGGAAGGGGTTAACATGACGGGTGATCAAAGGGTTAACTGTGTGCTGTTTTACTACAAGGGCTGTGTCTGTGTTTCACTGTAAGCACGCTGCTATGCAGAGCCATACAAAGCAATGTGCAGGAGTTGACAGGGGAGAGATCTGTGTTGTTTATACACAGGTCTCTCCCATGTCAGAGATACTCGGCGATCACTGGGTGCCGGTGAGTAATCACCGGTCGTGACCCGGTGATTGCCAGCTTAGGCCGTGAATGGCGGTGCAGGTAGGGCACACACCACCTACCCGGAAATGCAAAATCACGTATATATACACACGTGATTTTGCGTACCCCTCCCGCCCTGTAGCAGTATTTCTGCGATAGGGTGGAGAGGAAGCAGTTAAATAAAAATGTTGATCTGAGTCAACCTAATAATATATACATCTCTTCTGTCTGTTATTCTCAGAGTGGATTAGATATTTTGTTCCCCAACCATATAGCTGGTTATTTATATCACTGCATATAGATATTCAAGAATAAATTACTTTACATACTGTATTAACTAAATTATACAAACTTTTTTTTTTCGTTTTTTTTATTTGATTAATCGAAACAATAAATCTGCCAACTAATTGATTATAAAAATAATCATTAGTTGCAGCCGTAGCTAGAACTTCGATCACCTTTTTATTATTGTCTGGTTTCCAGTTGTAGATTTGAGGTTAAGCTTAGGTAATAGCTGGCTGTGCAGAGATTGTTGGCGTGCAAAAACAGTGTCACTCTGGTTTTATGTTGCCCTCTTTTCCTTCTATAATAAAACATATTACACAAAAATGAAGATTTTTTTGCTCAGATAGGTACATTATCTATATTAGTGATTGTTAACTTGTGATCTGCTGGACTCTTTTTGCTCATCAGCTATCCTTATTGTAAGTGTGTTTTATGTGTGGCCCAAGACAATTCCTCTTCTTCCAATGTGGCCCAGAAAGGTCAAAAGGCTGGACACCCCTGGACTACATGTTAATGAAAGCTCCATTCTTAACCACTTCCAGACCGGACACTTTTACCCCCTTCCTGACCAGGGCAATTTTTCAGCTTTCAGCGCTATCACACTTTAAATGACAATTGCGCAGTCATGCAACGCTGTACCCAAATGAATTTTTTACCATTTTTTTGAGACAGATAAAGCTTTATTTTAGTGGTATTTATTCACCACTGGGATTTTTATTTTTTTTGCTATGTAAATGGAAAAGTCCCACAATTTTGAAAAAAAGAGTGTTTTTTTTATAACATTTTGCAAATAAATAATATTTCATCATAAATCTTGGCCAAAATTTATTCCGTTTTCTTTTTAGTAAAAAAAAAAAAATCCAAATTAGTTTATAACCAAAAATTATAATTTTTAAACATTTTTATTTTATTTTTTTATATTATTATTTTTTATTTTTTATTTTTTTTTACATACTGTCACCCTAGCAGTACAGTGTCACCATGGTGACACTGTACTACTTGTTGGGGGGTGATGAAGATTTTTTTTTTTTTTTACACTGATTGCTTTTACACCCATATAGGATGTAAAAGCAATAATTTCTCTTTCTCTCTGTGTGCATTCTTGCATTCATTGAGAAGTACTGAGTGAGCTGTGATTGGTTACAGCTTGTTACATGGTACAAGGCTGTTGTGAATAGCCTTGTACGCTGTGACCTCAGTGATCATTCACAGATTTCACACGTAGTAAGCAATGATGTCACAAGTGACATCATGCTTACTAAATCACTGATTGGCCAATCAGTGATCACATGATCGGGACCACAGAGGTCTCGTCCAACGATTGGTGTTTCGCTGTGTCTGGAGGACACAGCGGGCACCGGATCGCGGTGCTGCGCTCTCCCAGGGAGCGCGCACAAGCAGGGTGCAGGGAGGCCATTTATAAACGCCACCCGACCCTGCAGTGCCACCGTCCGGCCGTTTATATGCAACGGCCGGTCAGGAAGTGGTTAATGGAGATGAATAGAGGGCAGTCAAAACATGAAAATGCTAAGTGATGAGCCAAGTATGTCTAATTCACTTCAACAATTGGAGTCTCAAAAAAAAGAAATCCATAGCAGGCAATTATATAATTTCATATAACTGAAAAAAAATGAAATCTGCTTTACTGTTATTACACTTTACATTTTTCATGACTTTTTTCACAGCTTTACTGAACAATTCAATTAAAATCTCTCAGCCTGAAAAATAGAGAGCTCTCCACCCTACTAGGATAATGTTATTGCATACTATGCAAAGCTTCATTTCAAGCTAAGAAAGGAGAGGAATCAGCTTTTACCTCACATTCTTGCTCTTTGGCAGAAGATGACTCAATGCTATCCACCTCGCTATCACTATCCGAATCTTCATCCAAGTTGATGGAACAAGCATATGGGCACTTCTCTTGGGTCTTACTTGGAGCACCATCCTCACTTCTTATCTGTGGACTATTGGCACACGCATCATTAGTGAGATTGTTGATGAAGGGGCACGATACTGGGTTGAGTGTTGTAAAAGTCCGTTCAGGGACCTCATTGGATATGGAGATGCCCAGCCATGGACATTCAGTCCTTTTCTCCATGTTGTTCTCCAACTGTGGCTCCTTGCTGGTCACAATCTCCAACTCTTGTTGGCATGGATATTCAGTGTACACATCAGACCAAAAACCTTTGGCAAGATGTTCAGCAACTTCTCTTTCCACATTACTGCGCTCCCTTATTAATGGAGGTTTTCCAGAAGCACAAAGTTGAGGTTCCGCTACTAGCTCTGAGGTCAGAATTTCAGGTGCCTGTAGGTTACTCTGACGACTGTTGCTCCCTTCCGGCAAACCTGCTGTGCTGGAGTCATTGGGGGTGTCTGAGTAGTTTAGGCTTCGGTATGGTTGATATGCACTGAAAGGCACTGAGCTGAAGTCTTGAGGTCCCAAAGGAAAACAAGGTGGGTATGCAGCAGTCATGACTACTTTGTCATCAACACCAGAAAAGTTTTGATAAGAACTGCCAGGGCCCTGTGAAGGTACTATATTTACTTCCATGTCAGAATTGGCTTCATGAATATCCTCCACCTGAGGTTTGGGCTGGCTGGCTGGTTCAGAAGCATCACTTGATGGTGCTGGAGATGGACTCTGAGCATCCTGATTGCTGGAACAAGTGCTGACAGATCGCACTCGGCCACTTTTACAAGCTTTCTGAAACTTTCTGTACTTTGGACAAAGAGAGGAAAATCCGGAAGCACTGTCTCTGCCAAGGCAAAATGATTCACAGGGCTGCTTGGGGCTCTCAGGAGAAGGGGAAATATTTTCAATCTCCGCTGGACATTTCAGATTCTGGGTAAATTCCCCCCTCCACAGTTCTTCCACCTCATGCACCGGTGGTCTTCCTGACTCGCTCTGTTGCCCAGCAGCCTTCGGGCAGAAAGTCTTGCAGCATTTCTTTCTTGGATCTGCCGGCTTGACTTTGTTGTCCTGGAATTTTAACTTCAGGAATTCAAAACATGTTTCTTCAACGTCATGGATTTCCAGCAACTTAGCACACTTTCTGATTTCTGATAAGCTATCTCTGGTGACGAGAAGCTTAGAGGTATATGCAAACTGAAGAAGAGGCAGAAATCCTTTCACAGTTACCTGCAAGTAATTATTAAAAAAAAAGTTTCAGCAAATTTGTGCATGCACTTCAATAAAACTTATATCACCAAGGTTTAAAGCTAAACTCCATTTATCCACTTTCTAAAATGTGTCGGATTACTAAGGGTTAAAGGTTAACTCCACCTTTAGCCCTAATTCACACTGCTGCGACTTATCATGCCACTTGCGACACAGTCACATGACAAGTCAAAACACATTCAATTCAATGGGTGTCACCTTAAGCCTCATATACATAATGAGAAAATCGAAAGAAAAATATTGCTTTTGGAGCAATGATCCGATAAACTGATCATTAGTACACAGATTTCAAGAACCAATTAGGACAGCTCATGCGAAAATATCTGAATGGACAAGCACGGAAATTTTTATCGTAAAAGAACGGAACTAACATTTTTAATTTAATCAGTACAGTATTAGTCTGATAAATATCAAGTGACCAAGATCGCGCATGCTCGGAAACTAAAGAATACATTACAATACAATAAAAGACATTACTTCACTTCCCAAGTTGTATTCTGTCTTATGAGACCTTTCGTAACCTAGTCGTTTTCGATATGAGACGAGCATACAAAAAGAAAAAAAAAACGGACAATCATTCGTCTGATAGTCTCATCATATGTACTAGGCATTAAATCAATGTGACTTGAGTTGTAGCGGCAAAAAAAAGAAAAAAAAAAAAAAAAAAAGATGTACATGTACAATGTACATCAGAAAAGTCACACGTGTTTGGGGTCACAGCAGTGTGAACTGAGCCTTAGCAACGTGTTACACCCGTATTTCGGGTCCACTGCTTTGTGGGAGCCTGTTTACATCTCGAGTTCACAAGTGTACTGGAAATACGGGCAGAAATGCACATTTTTACCTGCATTTTGTGACACGCTTGCATTGCCATTTTTTGTTAATGGCACCCCAATGCAGGTAGCAGACGTTTGTCTGGTCGGTCACGTGTTTTCTGCACAAAAAACATGCTTCTCTCAGTGTCAAAATTTGATGCTCGCGCTTCTACAACGCGTTTTTTCCGCACAACAGGTACCCCACTCAATTTAATGGGTTGTCGTACCAAAACACGACACTACACTTAGATGTGAACATAGCCTAAAGGGGAACTTAGCCTTTAAGTCCAACAAGATGTATGCCACCTCATAAATCTATCTCTTTACATTACAATTTAAATTTTTACTGAGCACCAGGTAGCATAGTTAGCTACCTGTACACTTCTGCCGCTGGACCTTCTGGTCTCAGCTGCCGCCGCTGCAGACCCATATGCAGCCAACCTTCCCACTCTTCCCCTCCTGCTGCCCAATCACACTGCAATGTATAACATAGACCCATTCACAAAATACAACGCCTTCTGTGAATGGTCAGCAGAGCTAAGGGGTGGGCAAAGCTACTGCAGTGTGAAAAAGCAACATCTCTTCTGTCAAAGAGAAAACTGTCATTTGTATATAAAAGAGATACAGTATCTCACAGAAGTGAGTACACCCCTCACATTTTTGTAAATATTTTATTATATCTTTTCATGTGACAACACTGAAGAAATTACACTTTGTTACAATGTGACGTAGTGAGTGTACAGCTTGTATAACATGTAAATTTGCTGTCTCCTCAAAATAACTCCACACACAGCCATTAATATCTAAACCGCTGGCAACAAAAGTGAGTACACCCCTAAGTGAAAATGTCCAAATTGGGCTCAAAAGTGTCAATATTGTGTGTGGCCACCATTATTTTCCAGCACTGCCTTAACCCTCTTGGGCATGGAGTTCACAAGAGCTTCACAGGTTGCCACTGGAGTCCTCTTCCACTCCTATATGACAACATCACAGAGCTGGTGGATGTTAGAGACCTTGCGCTCCTCCACCTTCTGTTTGAGGATACCCCACAGATGCTCAATAGGATTTAGGTCTGGAGACATGCTTGGCCAGTCCATCACCTTTACCCTCAGCTTCTTTAGCAAGGCAGTGGTGGTCATGGAGGTGTGTTTGGGGTCGTATCATGTTGGAATACTGCCCTGCGGCCCAGTCTCTGAAGGGAGGGGATCATGCTCTGCTTCTGTATGTCACAGTACATGTTGGCATTTATGGTTCCCTCAATGAACTGTAGCTCCCCAGTGCCGACAGCACTCATGCAGCCCCAGACCATGACACTCCCACCACCATGCTTGACTGTAGGCAAGACACACTTGTCTTTGTACTCCTCACCTGGTTGCCACCACACACGCTTGACAACATCTGAACCAAATAAATTGATCTTGGTTCCAGTAATCCATGTCCTTAATCTGCTTGTTTGTGGGCTTTCTTGTGCATCATCTTTAGAAGAGGCTTCCTTCTGGGACGACAGCCATGCAGACCAATTTGATGCAGTGTGCGGCGTATGGTTTAAGCCCTGACCCCCCACCCCTTCAACCTCTGCAGCAATGCTGGCAGCACTCATATGTCTATTTCCCAAAGACAACCTCTGGATATGAAGCTGAGCATGTGCACTCAACTCCTTTGGTCGACCATGGCAAGGCCTGTTCTGAGTGGAACCTGTCCTATTAAACCGCTGTATGGTCTTGGCCACCGTGCTGCAGCTCAGTTTCAGGGTCTTGGCAATCTTCTTATAGCCCAGGCCATCTTTATATAGAGCAACAATTCTCTTTTTCAGATCCTCAGAGAGCTCTTTGCCATGAGGGGCCATGCTGAACTTCCAGTGACCAGTATGAGAGAATGAGAGCGATAACACCAAATTTAATACACCTGCTTCCCATTCACACCTGAGACCTTGTAACACAAATGAGTCACATGACACTGGGGAGGGAAATAGGCTAGTTGGGCCCAATTTGGACATTTTCACTTAGGGGTGTACTCACTTTTGTTGCCAGTGGTGTAGACATTAATGGCTGTGTGTTGAGTTATTTTGAGGGGACAGCAAATTTACACTGTTATACAAGCTGTACACTCAATACTTTACATTGTAGCAAAGTGTCATTTCTTCAGTGTTGTCACATGAAAAGATAGAATAAAATATTTACAAAAATGTGAGGGGTGTACTCACTTCTATGAGATACTGTAAGTCCACAAGGTAGCATGCATCTAGTTTGCCTTAATCTATAGTAAGCCGGAACATTTTAGAAAGTGTCTGAATTCCTGGAGTTTAGATTTAAAGTTAGGTCTACAATGTGAATTATATGCTAACTGTAGTATCTTCAGGTCAGTCTTACTATTAGAAATATTACAGGATAGTCTCTGCAATAACAGCAACACAAGACACAGCTGCAAGACTAAGTGCTATCCCCTCTCACCTCTTCAGGAAGGGTGATCATGAAGTCCCCATCATAGGCCTGAACAACACGGGACAGGAAAAAATCACTGGAAGCTGCGAGCACAGTGCGATGAGCCTGGAACCTCTGATCTTCCACTATAACAGTCACATCGCACAGCAGACCCTGTTCTCGATGACTATTGAGACGAAGCAGACATTAGCACTGTGGACCGAGGACTCGTAGGCAAAAGGAGCATCCTTCTTCTCACTACAAGACATCCTGTATTAGGTGCTCAGCAAGCATGCTTCTCTGTATGTCCACCACTGCAATACAACAGAAACAGCATTAAATCATGGACCGTCCATTCTGTAAAGGTAATGAAAAATAAGTACATAAACCTGAGATTTAATTCAACACAACTTAAGTTCAGCTCCAGGCAGATTAAAAAAAACACAATAATTCATCCTTGTATCTGCTTAGTGTAGGCAACTGATGTAGGTAC